ATCTTTACCGCTTGGAAGAATTATGATACTCCGTAATTCTAAATATGAGGCATGAATTCTACTAAAGGGCTGTAATTAGGAAGGAAGAAGAAAAGCTACAGAAGTAGCAGACAGAAGAAAACATGAGAAGATTGATCATTTCTTTGACATAACTTCTTGTAGAGTAACATAAGCATGTATAGGTTTTAACAAACTACTAATTAGATTGCGTACACACATTAACAGAATAGGAATACAGGTACATAACAAAAGCAGACCTACAATTACGGGCCATGTCCAGCGAAACCAAGAAAACCAGTTAGGTAACCCAGGCATTTGTGAAAACTTATCAATAATATGATGGATATTGTCTAACTGATTTTGAATAGTTTGAGAAAAATCAGACAAATTAAAACAACACATTCCTGGAAACTCTTCACATCCCATATGTTCTTTTAACAATAGATAGTCTATAGTAGCACAATTTTGAAGCACTGCAACTCGCACTTCTCCTAATTCTTGGTTGAGTTCCGACAATACAGAACTAGTCAAATTTGTTGTTTTACTATATGCACAGGCCAGCTTAGATATCTCCATGGGAGCCCATTTAAACAAGATCATTAGTTTGACCTGCATATTCCATTGTTCCAACATCAAATGTACTAGTTATTAAATTGTGGATTTTCTCATAAAACCACCCTCTGGAAAGCATAGGATTATTATCTCCTCTCAAACAACTGTTTTTCCTTCTTGTAGACCTCTGTAGGTATAAGCTAAAGCTTCCTTCTTGTAAGAAATGATTGTCATAAGAGAAAGACAGGTGTGGAAAAGCCTTTTTATAAACCCTTTGTCTACTGCTATGGGGATTATTGAAAAATGAAGGAATTTCATGGTGATTTGAAATTGACTGTCCCCTCCATCTCCAAGTGCTTCTGAATCACCTCCCCAGCTGTTTAAAAAGTTGTTGAGCCATTAACTGCTGCTGAGGTTGCTCTAAGCTCCCTTGGAAATGGGGTCCCCCAGCTGCAATACCCAGTATCAATGAGCAATGAGTGACTGCCTGCCACCTCCTCCACCAGGCCCTCCTGGGGTCTGGCAGGTGCTGCCACTGTCTCCCCATGGCCTGCTGGCCCATCCTGCCCCCAGAGTGATGGAGGCCCCTGTCATCCCTTCTGTTTCCACAGCTGATTGGACACCTTTCAATCAACCTTTCCGAGAGCACCGAGTTTGAAGAAGCTCTTTGCCTTTCTCATGCTTTTGCTCAAGTCCCTGTGCTCTTTAACAAAATAATTCTCGCCATTCAGCCCATTCTGCAGATGAGCAACAGGAACAGGATCCAAATTCCCTGCAAATGGGAAGAAATAGTTTCTGAGGCAGATGTTTGTTAACCTCCAGCTTGGGGCAGGAAAGAAGCAAGAGTCCATACTCACATTCCCAAATCGAACACGTGGTTGAATGTTTCCAGTGAAAACAAACTATAGAAGGGTCATCCTCTTATACGTTTAATTTCTCACATCACTTCTTCATTAAAGGAACAGAAAAATGTTCTAAGAATTGCAGTCCATAGGATTCTGCTTTGTGAATCACAGTTTATTAAATGAGCAACTTTATACAAGAAAATGAAAACCAATAGGATGTTGCCTTTTCGTTCCATTAAAAGTAAATGGTTGATTTCCCCATGCATTAACATGAGATATAGAGAGACTAAATTTTTGGTGCTTGGTGAAGGGCTAAGCTGAGTTTTTGCCTTGTATGTCATTTGGCTGAACAGGCATGGCCTTGACTATTCTCTCCTTGAAGGAAGCATTATGTGGGCACAGAAGCATGACACCTAACCAACACATTATGCCACTCTGTGCCAGGTGCCGCTATCAGCAGTTTGTGCTCACTTTACCCTCCCAACAAATTTCTGAGGTAGGAACTGTTATAACTACCATCTGACAGATAATGAAGCTGAAAGGTTAAGTGACTTTACCCAAGATCACACAACTGTAAATACCAGGTCCAGGATTCAATGCAGGCAGCCAGTCTGTAAAGCCCATACTTTTTGTTGCCAGTCCTTTTGATGTAGGGAACTGAGGAATTTCATTACTTGTCCCTCACCAAACTAATAGAGCCAAGTAAATGGAACCTTCTCTCTAGAGGTGTGGTCACTTCCTTCTCTACCTCCTGAAAAGGAGCTGACTTTCCACTTGGCTCCCAGGACTGTTTCAAATATGGTACAGAATTTATTTTCCAATTTTGAAAACCAGTTATGAATGTATCAGATTTGAAACTCTAAAACAGTGCTTCTCAAAGTGTATTCCATGGACCCAATACCCGCAAGGGATGTTTGATTCAAACAGGGAGTCGAAGCTCCACATAGATGTACTGAAATAGAATCGGCAGGGGTAGGTCCCAGGAAACTGCAGTTTTAGGAAGCACCCCAGTGATTCTTATGCACAGTAAAGATTAACAGTCATTATAGAGGTGCATCCGGAAGTTTCAGGGGCTCTGCACATGATCAGTTCAACTGCAGATGATTATTAAAAAGCTTTCAAGGCCTCTCTGAACTCAATAGCTATTTCAGGGAGAATTGTAATGTGCGAGAAGTGTTCCAAAATTGTTGTGGTCTCCTTCTGTGCGAGCCAGCTGGTTAAGAGAGCTTGAATAATTTCTTAAGGGACTCCAGTTAAGAGGACACTTGTACACTCTTTACCTACGAAAATATAGAAAAGCCAGTTTTCCAACCTGGACCCAAAGTGAATCTTACAGAATAGAATTCTGATCATCTTTCTATTTTGCTAAACACCTTTCCAAAGAGCCTGATGGTAGATTTGCATAATCTGGCCCTACCCTCCTCTCCAGCTTTAACCCCAACAAGCTCCCCACTCCCTGCTCCAGCAATACTGAACTTCCCTCACTTCCTCCAGTGCTCCAAGCCCCTCAGCTTCTGTGTGTGAGATCCAGGGCAAATTACGCACCTTTTGCCCAGCATATAGGTGGTTCCCACTCTTTCTTCAGAGCCCAGTTTAAGTGGCACTTTCTCAGGGAAGCTGTTCCTGGCCTGACAGAAGACTCCAGAACAGCCCATTATCTACCACTTCCCCCAGTTCCATTCCTCCAGAGCACTTACCAGATTTTTACCTGCTTTCAACCGTATGATAACCTCATTCACATCTGTCTTCCCGAGTAGATTACAAGCAAGAACCATACTGTCTTGTGCATTCTAGCAGAACGGCTTCTACAGGTTTAAGCAACTCAGAACTTTGGAAAGGAAGGCTTGATTCTCAGTCTAAAATTTGACGTCCATTCTATCAACGATTCTACATTTTTTCCATTTCTATCCCTATCATTAAAGAGCAGTGGACACGGAAAGACCAAACCCCAAACTTATTTTTGTGTGCAGATCCCTTCCATGAAGATGTCAGCAGCTCTAATCCTGATACTATTTTTAAACTGCTCATAGTGTGATTATACAGTCATTAGTTGTTAAAAGGAAAGTCAATTTAAGAGGGGTAATTTCTGATTTTGAAAAACCACAAAGCAACTAATTATCTATTTCCTCTTTTACTTCGAAGGCTGAAATGGTTTCTCATTGTTGAATAGGGAGCGCAATGAGCCTAATTGGTGATTAGATGGATTTTATTTAATTTTGTTTCATCACCACTTTCCAGTGTACTGTGGGTCAGCAAACTCACCTTTTGCAAAAGTTTTCTCTATATGAGAGCATCTTTATTTCACAGTAATTTGATCACAACATTTGGGTTTAAACTAATTTTGACATGAAATGATGGATTCTAAGTGTTCCTAAATGATAAGTATGCTAAAAGCTAGACTTATTCATCTCCAAGACCTATATAGCATTTAGCAAACTGCAGACATTTTAAATTATAAAAAAACTGGCTTCTGGGTATTTGAACTCAAAAAAATTACATCCTATAGGATACATATATATCAAAACCTAGCAATTATAAGTGGATAGTCTCCAACAAGTTTTTTAAATGCCTCCCTGAGGAAGCTAAGTGCCACTGACCTCCTCAATTTGCTCTTGATTAAATACAGGTTTCATTTTATGCATTACAGTAGAAAAGGATTAGAGAGACATAGGCAGGCAAGCGAGCTTGACAGCAAAGCAGTCCAGATAATTATGGCTTATACCTCACACAGTTTAGGTTACACCTTCCGGACAGTGTCACCTTCCAAAATTAAAAATCTAATGTTCATGTCATAAAAATCTGTGGGAAATGATAGATAATAACAATATTAGCTAACAATTGTGTTTCATGCCTGCAGCATTCTTAGCCCTTCTATATAAATTACCTCACTCAGTCCACACCATAAGCCAGTGAAGCAGGAACTGGGAGTAAGCCCATTTTACAAATGAGAAAACTGAGACATAGAGTATGTCACAGACACACAGAACTACTTTGGAAGCAGGATTCCGACTCAGTCAGCTTGCCTGCAGAGTGCTCACTACGTTCAATGAAACTAGACTGTCTGCCATACATACTTAATTTAGGGCAGGAGGGGTAAAGGGACAGACAAAAATAGATCATCAGAAGGTATAAACGTCCAGTTATAAAATAAATAAGCCACAGAAATGTAAAGTGCAGTGTAGGGAACATTGATAGTAGCATTGTAATAACTTCGTTTGGTGACAGACGACAACTACACTTATCACGGGAAACGAGTCATAACGTATAGACGTGTCGAATTACTGTGTTATACCCCTGAAACTATTATAGGCCAACTACACTTCAGTAAAAAAAAAAAATTTTTTTTAAACAGCAATGAATCTGGAAGCTTGGTCCTGCTTTCTTTCTTTCTCTTTATTTTCCCTTTAGAGGATGGGGGTAGAGGGTACGTATTGTTTTGTTTTGTTTTGTTCTAAAGGAGAAGCTGAAAGTGAGCCTTTTCTTTCTGAACATCTTTTTCCAACACCATTTCCCTTCATCTGGGGCCAGGAAGGACCCTGATTCGGAAGACAGAGCACTAATGAGCTGCCCCTTTTGTCTCCTCCCTGTCTCTCCACTCTACAGTTAATAGCCAAGATACCAACCATCACGGCAGTTTGTAACTTGCATGGCGAGAAGCTGCAGGTATTTAAGCAATCACATCCAGACATAGTGAATACACTCTTTCCTCCATTATACAAGGAGCTCTTTAATCCTGACTGTACCACTGTCTGTAAGTGAACACGACGACAGAACTCTCTCATAGTCATGGAATGCGTCACCCTTAAGACAAAAGCAATGTGTTCATGAAGACTTAAGAAAAATGTCACTACTGCAACATTAGGAATGTCCTGCACTTAATAGAATTATTTTTCACCGCTACAGTTTGAAGAATGTAAATATGCACCTGAGTGGGGCTCTTTTATTTGTTTGTTTTTTGAGATGACCATAAATATACAAATAATAGGACACTGGGTGTTATCTTTTTTTTTTTTAATTTTATTTGGGTATGTTTTGGAGACAACTGTTTATAGAATTTTATTGTAGATAATACAAGAACAGAGCGGTACTTTACATGATTACTTTTCCTGTTGATTGTTCAAATATAATTTAAGAAATTCAACTGAATAGGCTTATCTATTTCTATGTTTCTAGATAGTTGATGCATGTGTAAATTTGTAGCTGTCTTGGAAAGCACTGTGCATGTATGTAATAAGTATATAATATCTGAGAATATTATATATTACTATTACTTATAAACATACATGCACTGTGGCTTAAAATACCATACTAGCAAAGGAGGTTCAGTCAGGCTCTCTTATATTATTTACCTTCTGTGTTATGCGTTACCTTTATGTTAGACAATCAGGATTTTGTTTTTCCAGCCAGAGTTTTCATCTGTAGTCAATGGCAGGATGGCACCAATTCAGAAGTAGGTCAATAAAGGAATAAATATAATGCACAGCCTCTGTAAAAAAAAAAGAGGAAAAAACAACTTCTACCAATAACATTAAAGCCTTGTCAAGATGGTACATATTGGGGGAAAAGATTAAATATTTGGAGCCATTTTCCTGTTTTAAGAATTTGGCCACAGATAATATTGTGTGGACTTTTTGGACCACATACACACACAAAAAATAGATATTTCCTATTTTTCACCAGGACACAAAAACTTTGGGGGGCTTCAGCTTGTGAAAGAAACTCGATCCCGGTCCTGATTATGTCTTCAATAGAGATTATGGTAGATTATAGTAGATTATGACCACCAGCAAATTTTTCTAATAAAATTTGAGTTAAAGATTAAATAAGAACCCAGGATCCCAAAGCCATTTCATGTAAACATTTTCTCTCTAACCATTTTTTTTTTTTGCAGAGAGATAGAAAGAGAATATACAAAGTAAAGAACTAGTTCTTTATATTCATTCTCTTTAATAAGTTTGGTAGAAAAAGCAGCAAGAAAGGAAGAGGCATGACTTTATGCCCTTCTAGTCTGGGGCCTCTAATTTTTTCAGCTCCAAACTGCTATGTGATATAAAAATATAGCAAAAACTTTGAGTTATTCTATAGAATGAATATGCCCCAAAGCCAAAACTATTTCCTACACCATTTGTAATTGCATCATCCATGTAGCTTGGGATTATTTATTTTTTTTTAAGCAACTTTAAGCAAAGGTACAGAATGCAGAGGTGAGATCAGGATTAGAGAATTTAAACTTCCCAGGACAAGTTCTCACTTCTCCACCTGCTCACCAATTAAACTGATAACCAGAAAAACATACATTCCAGTGGGCTTATTCTGCCTGTGTTCTGGAGACCTTTGGTGTTATCTGATCCAAAATAAGATTTTGCAACAGGAAACTGCAGGAAAGCTTTGCATTTAAAGCAATGAAAATTACGATCTCCCTTAAGTGCAGCCCAGCCACTAGCTCTGAAGACCTGCCCTTTTCTCCTTGTCACACACACACACACACACACACCTGCTTTGTAAAGTTTCTGCCAGTGGAAACTTTGATTTCTTTTTAATCTCTTATCCTCTCCTGAAGTTACGTGGTCTTGAGAGCCATCTCCTTGATGCCATGGAACTCCTCGTTGATGATCAAACAGTAACGTTAGTCTTTTCTTTAGAACACAGAGTCTTTTCCCACCTCATGATTGATGAATTCCAAACCAATGGGGAAAAACAAAAAGGCTTTAAAATAATGAATCTCTTTCTCAACTACTGTTATATTCAATTAATTTAACTACATTGAACCAAATTACCTTCAGTGTCTAAGAAGACAGCTGTAGACGGCTTATTATGCTGCTACAGGGACTCAATTCTTTTTGGTGTAAATGTCACTCCTGCTAGCTCTTTGTATAAAGAATTAATTCCAAGAGTCATATTTCCTTCTAATGGAAAGATTGCTTTACTGATTGCTAGGAAAACAGGGTAATGGAAGGCACTCAATTAAACCAAGCCGTTTCCAAATGCAATGTATGTTTTATGATTGGCTTGTGATAGGCGATGCTTAATGTGTGTACTTGGTGTTTCCCTTTGAGCTTTGAACTTATGTCAAACTTTGTTTTCATTGTTCTGTTGGCCTAGTGTTTTCCATTGCCGGCCTATAATTCCTGCTCAGTTGTAAAGGGAGTCATTTGTTTTCCTCCAGTTTACCTTAGAGTATTTAAATTGGCTCCATTGATGAAGTGGCTGAGAATTTTTCCTCCCTCATCCCATGGGTGATGTAGAAAAAAGATTGTTCCCCGCATTTGTCTCAGGAGGTAGTGGATTTGAATTTATGCAGTTTCCACTAGTGCATGCGGTTCACTGGGATGGCGTGAACCTTTTGAAGCTAGGGGACGGGCAACAGCTAGCAACTGAACCAGAACAAAATAGGAGAAACCAGTACACACTCAGCCCACTTCAGCTGAGAGGAGAGATTTCCATGTTTCACCAGAGTTACCAAATCTGTCCTTTTGAACCAAGTCATATTTTCACTGGTAACAAAGCACCTTTGAAAACTTCCCTTTGAATATCTCCTGTGACTACACAGGAGACAGGTTCATGTCCTGTCACGACACATTCTTGATAAAGTGTGTGCCCTGGAAGAAAGAACCCAGGGTCTGTACTTCCCACTTCATGCTTCGTAAATGACAATCACTGTTTGATGCGGATGTTGCACTGTATTCACTCAGGGATGTTTCATCAAAAAAAAAAAAAAAGATACATCAAAGGGGTGAGAAACAGGAAAATGACAACAAAGTGTACATGGCATAAATTAAATATGCCATTGAGAGGACGTCTCTGACAAGGCTTTCAGACCAATAGTCAGTAACTCCATACTGTCAACTGCTTGGACTTGCTGAGAAGTTACACATGAGTAAGGAAAACTTAGTCTCATTTTCTAAAATCTGCTATAGCTAAATAATCCAGCTGCCCCATTTATAGGAGAACAGATCACCCAGCAAACCCAAGCTTCTTATACAAGTCCTGAGCAAGGGAAACCCAGAAATCGAAGTGACATTAGGGGAGCCTGACAAGGGAGGTGAAGCTATTTGAGTTCAAAGTCCAATGCATCTGCGGTCTGTGAAAGGGAAGGCAGATTTGGTCAGGGAATATAGGAGAATAAAGGGGTTCCAAATGGGCTTAACACCCCATGTTTAGCTTAATATTTCTACTGTCCATGACTCAGTTCGTCTTTGGACCCCTTTTCTGTGGCTTTTTTAATCCCTAGACTGAAAGCTGAGGATGGAGATACACTCTATAACATACCCTTTCTGGATTTCCCTTGTTTGAATACTGTCTTCAGGGCTCTGGACTAGACAACCACTGCATAGGTAAAAAGCAAAGCATGTAGTGATCTCTTGGGTGATCAGACTTCTCTGACAGAATGTGAGATACCCTAACTGTTAGGAACCCTGGATATTGACAAGAGGTGCCAGGGAGGCATCAGTTTGTTTCCTATCATAGCTCCTTGTTGACCCATAGCTTCACAGCCATCAGGCTCAACTGTCTGTAGAAAATCACACACGTGGATCGTGAACTCACATGCACCCTTTACAACCCCATGTGTACCAGATAAAACTTAACCAGCTTTTTTCAATAACATAAGATGCAAATGATGTCAGTTTTGTTCCACGTTCTTTGTTTCCATTTTCATAGAAGCAGGGAAAAATTCTACTAGTACTGGAAATTAGAAGAAATAACATTTTGTTTGTTTTTCATGAAGTTACCTAGGATTGGCAGTATATTAAGGCGAGGATGTCTGTGCCCTGACAGAACCATCCTTTAATAGAATAGCAGTAACTTTAAAGTGTGCCTCTGTAGTGGCACTTTGCATAAAGATCCCTGTATAAAGAAGAGGAAACAGCCCACCCTCTGCTTTAGACGAAGACGTATTTGATTTTGTGTTTCCAACTGCTAGGACAAGCAGCAACCTGACATGGAAAGGCATGTGGGTCTTTGGACAAGAGTTGACAACCATTTTGGGGAAGGCAGAAGGTGTCTCAGGACCAGAGGCACATGTCCATTTAAAGCAAGGGTTAAAAATTCAAAAGCCTAAAAGGGCCAGGGAGTTGATGCAAATGAATGAAAGCAGTCCAGTGGCAAGCTGGCAGGGAAACAAATGCCCTGATCATCAGGTGAGAGACAACGATCATCAACTAAAGCTGAAGTGTTGATAAGCCATCTGAAGCTTATAAAAACTTGAGTTGTCAGTTCTGTCCGTTGAATCAGAGCTTAATGCAGACCAAACAAATATGCCTCTGAGCAGAGGAGGGCCCACAGTCTGCAAACCCTGGTTTAAAGAAAAATGGAATCCAGGGGCCTGTTTGGCTGGAGCAAGTCTGGCCAGACACAACTTGGAATGACAGAGATCTTGCCCTTCTCACACTCAATTTGATTTACATATTTGACTATCACCAGGAAAGGATAGACTAGGCATTCAGTTGAAAATGCAGCAGTCCAAAAATGAAAATTTTCAATTATAAAAGACACCTGTGTTTGTCTTGCCCAACTCCTAGCTTCATAGAGCCAGGTGGCCAGATCTCTTGCCACTTTTTTTCTGAAAGTCAAATGCCCAATTTTTAGGCTTTTGAGTCTCAATGTGTTTCTTCAAATGCGTGGCTTCATTATCTGTGACAGGTTTTTAACTTCCCTTAGTTGTATCTGAAGAATTCATCCTACAGTCATGATAAGGTAGCCCTCCATTTTTCTGAAGTGCGGGACCACGGATTCCTACGCAGCAGACGGGGGTTGTCTGTGCACTTTGTTCTAAAGCTGCTGAAATTCCTCTGAAGTGAATTGGCCATAGTCATTTCTGCCTCCTGCATGACTGGAAGCACGACCTCCAGTGGATCAGAGAAAGCAGCTCAGTGATTGTCTTTATGGCCAAAAATAAAGCACAAAAATGAAAAAATCCAATTATAAAAGACACTTGTGTTGACCGGAATTGAATAAACCCAGTTGAGGGAAGAGCAGGTATCTGCACCCCCGCTGGACAGCGTGATCCTTCTGCTAAACCATAGTCTTTTGGTGGGGGCTGATGTAGAGCACCTGCATGCCTCTGTCACCACCGTGTGCAGACACACATTAGGTATGTCTGGAAAGCTACAGATCCCTCATCCCAGCACAATGCTGTCTGCTTCATCTGATTAACACTAGAATGAAAACTACACCCACAGAAAACTGAGTATGTATTGTAGAAATGTAGAAGAAAAATAAAAATATTTTTTCAAATGTAATTACTTTTAATATATGCTTGTGGAAGGTCTAATACTATGTATGCTGTCTCTGTAATTTTTGCTGTAAATAACTGGAGACAGTGAATACACTGATTTTTCTATGTCTCTGTTTAAGCATAAGACTTTGTAACAATTTTTTTAGAGGGGGAAAAACCAACAAAGAGCAAATATGTACTTGCTTCCTGTCTGTGTATTATGTATTTCTCAGAAACTGGTTGTAACAGTTTAAACATCTTGACGGGTCATTGGTGTTAAGTGTCCGCTTCTTTTTGTAATACAGCTGAGAAAGGGACAGGGCTGTCCATTAAACCTACTCCAAAGAATTCGGATTGAAGATTGGCCTGAGAGCTGCAAACTCTATCTGAACTAGACAATATGAAAAAGGAGAGTTAAAAATATATATATATATATTGCCTGAGTAAGTCATCTTTCCTGGTAGTAAATGGCTTTGTCCAAATCCTTTCTGCGTGGAATAGCTTAAGGAAAACAAACTCTGCTTTCTGATGAACAAAATATTTTTGTATACATTTATTTCTTAATTAATAACCTGAGGTCAGACCACTCATTCGCCGAAGCCATAACTGACCTTCACCAAATAAATGTAAAGAACCTGGGGGAGGGTGGGGAAGAGACAAAGAGGGAGGAAGATCAAAGGTGTCAAGATCTGTACAGCACAGTCAGGAGCAAGTCCAACGAACCTGATGCTTTTCCTGCATCCCAAATATGACTTTAAAAGGCTAGTATTTTATGATGATCGATTTATAATAAAAAAGATATTTAGATTTAAATGAGACTTTCCAATATTTTTTAAATCCCTGACAATGCTTCCTTGCTTTTAGGACTGAGAGAAATGATTTTCATATACTTCCAACATTCAGAGATTTAATGTTTTTATCTTAGCTCCAGCCCACGTGTGTAAAGTGAATAATGGCTGTAAGTTGTTCAGTGTTTAAAACCACAGGCTGTCTGGGACGTGGCTATTCCTCCCCACCACACTGCACCTGAAGGGATGGCAGGTGGGGGTGCAGTTGGTATCTCTTACTAGCATGCACACCATCGCTGGCAACGCACAAAAGTTGCATTGCCAAACCTATGTAAAATAAAAGCATTCAGTCTAAAAACATAGTAATTATACTTTTTTAAAAGGATAACGCCTCCTAGAGTCTCTCTTGATTTTTCTGGAGCTGAATCATGTTATTGCCATGTATTATTATTGGCCTATAGAGGCAAAAGGCAAACTACAAATAAACCCAGTGAAATACATAGTTTTAAAATCTACAATTTTCTGATCTCTCTCTCCTTGTTTAATATATAAGCCCTAATTTCTGTGTACATGAGTAAAACTACAGCCTGAGTCATTTAGGAAGTAAGCATTGAGTTTTTTTTAATTATACTAGAATAAAACAGCACTCCCTAACAATTAAAAAGAGTTTTATATTACTTTAGAATGTAATAGTTTTTTGTCCTTATTTTATGTCCTGTAAATTATTAGTTGAATACTGTTAGCACTCCCTGATAATGCACACATGATTTCTGAATGTTTTCTGTAAATGACAATCAATGTTTATGATGTTCCCCTCCTTTAATGCTGAACAAAATTAAAAGAAGAAAAAGAAAAAAGTCTCACCTGATTGTCTTCTTTCCCTCTGCTGGGAGAAGGAAGGGATGGAGAGGATAGACAGATATAGCTTTGAAAATATTATCTCCTGGGCTCTTAAAGACAAAGTTGCCCTTTTTCCAGTGAAATAATGGGTAATTTTTCTGGAAGTTCTTGTGTCTTCATGGGCCTGGCCTGAGTTAGAAATGCTCATTGAGAAAAGACCCAGACATCATTCTAGCTAAGTGGCTCACCAAGCTGCACTTAAAATGAGAGCAGCATCTCTCAAAGATAAATCGCTCCCCTTTACTAGAATTTTCATGAAAGAAAGTCCAACTAGCAGAGATGTAAGAAAACTCCTCTGCAAACACTTTGCTGAAATAAGTTGCAGCGGGTTTGAAACAGATGTAACAAACCCTACTGCTAATGAAAACTTTCAGGTGATAATTAATGAGTCAGTCTTGAGGTCTGATTTTCTTCTTTTTAACAAAGCATCACCAACCTGCTCCATCACCAGAATCAGTACTCACCGACATATGAATGCTCTGGTTATTGGAAGCTGTTGTAAGGTAACCGAGGATAATCACAGACTCACAGTGATGTTGAAAAAGGCAGTTCTAAGAAAGGCCAGTGGTTTTTCTGGTGCTTGGAAGTTGTCGCAGGTTGGGGGTCCCTAGAGCTGAAACACTCCAAGAATAGTCGTTTAAAGCCAGATGGAACCGATTTTAAAAGTTGGAGCCTTAGAAAGCCGCCTGCAAAGTTTTCCCAACTACAGTCTGTAGAACCAGTGGAAACCCTTGCAGTATGTTTCAAGCACCATCCCTTCTCAGCACATCCTGATTCCACGTGGCCCTGTGCAGAGCACCCAGAAATGGCGAACTGCATTGATGTTTCTGTTGGAGCACTGCTTATGTCCCTTGGTTTCTATCAGGTCTTCAAATGACCAGCCAAAGACAGCAAATACATTATCACAACCTATCCCAGGCTCATGTCAACTGTCACCAGCAGTTGATCACAGAACTTCTTACATCTACAGTTTTCTGAGAAACCTAGATCTAGGCAGCATTGAAATACAAGATGAAACTTACCATTTTTAAATTCAGGTTGGACCATATGATAGTTATTAACTTTTGATAACATTGCCAAAAATTATGAACTAAGCACTTTTTTGCAGAAAGCTTTGTTCCATTCACAGATCCTCCTCTTTATTTAAGAGTAAGAACTGGCAACCTGTTCCCATAATCAGACCAGTGCATGAAGGATTTCAGAATCAAAGGAGTAGCTGGGGTTTGGCCCCATATTCCAAGGGACAGCAGTCCCCAACCCAATTAGAGAAGGTGTGGAAGTGAAGCAAACCCTTAATGCCATCTTTGGCAGGAGCAGGAAGGGGCTTGGAGGGAGGGTGTCTCAGACTACCAAGCCAGCATACTATAAAAGTTTTCTCTCACTGTTTTCTGAACTTAGACTTACTAAGTTTAACTGGTTGAATAACTATTATATTTAAAGACTATAAAGTTATTGATAGCTGTGTCTCACAGACCTCTAAGTCTCCCAAGCGCATGGAGCAGAGCATGCATAGTGTAAGCATTCACATATCAACTACATGTACTGGGGTCCATTCTTCTGTTGTCATTTGAGCTCCCAACTATCTCTTTGCTGTCATTTCACTTGTTTTGTTTTTGAGGAAATCACTCTACAGCAGAGGCACCAGATACAGACATGCTTTTTAGCAGAGGCAGGGAGAGGGGAAATGGCAGCCGACTGGCACAGCGCATTGCAAGAATACTCTTTCCCTTCCTTTCTCAAAGATTTAACCAAAGCAGTAAAAGAAGCAGCCTGAGCGCCTATTAGAACTTAGACATAACTTCCTAGATTTTCACAGAATACTCATCTGGGCAGAAACAAAAAGCAGAGATGAGGGAACCTAATTAGCAAAACAAATTGGACATGAAATTATGCTTGGAGTTATCATGTCCCTTCCAAATCATCCAGTCTGACTTGACCTAATGACAAGTCTCAGTCAAAAAGAAGATAATCTGGAGAACTTGTTACTTCTTGAGCTATGTCACTGCTCAAGTAAGACATTGTAGAAAAAGTACTACTTTTTAAGAGATGGAAACCACTGTGGCTGTCATCTTGTGTTCCTGTCACAGCAGTCAAAACAGTGGGTCAAATGGCATCTGAGATGACATCGTTGTCACTGGATACGTTGCATGTGGTCAGATGAAGGAAGCAGGAGAGAGCATGCAGGATTACACTGTCAGTGTGGATGGGTGAGGCCTGCCCACATGCCACCAATCAGAGGTAATCCCATAGCCCCACAGAACAGTAAGGGTTATGGGAAATGTAGTCCATGTGTGACCACAGAGAAAGGCAACCAGGCTTGGGAAACACTTGGCAGTTTCTGACACAGATCTTAAAGGAATCCAGGGAGGTCTCTAACTTCATTTCCCATGAGATACTGCAACAAACATTTATGCAAATTCAACCAATATTTATTTCCATTATTATATGCCAGGCACTGTTCACTGGGAATACAATAGTGAAATATGACAGGTACAGACTCTATTCTTCTGAAATCTATGTTCTAAGTCCAAATAAGGTTTATATACAAAAGGAAAAGGACATAATACAAATAACTATAGAAGATAAACTTTATTACAAGTGTTACACTGGCCACAAAAAAAAAATTATAGGATGTTCCTACATGTGGTAACAGTTCAGTATTTAACTCTACTCTTGAACCTATTATCACCCATCATAGCCCATTCTGGGTTTTTTTTTTAAACAGTGTGAATTCTTAAGAGTGACACGAAATCTCTTATCTTGTATCCATGGTTATAACTAGTTTTGCTCTTTGGGACTAAGTTGAACAAGTGAATGTCCAAAGCTGTTTGTCATTATCACTGCCTTAAATAAAACACATTTTTCATTCCTCATTCCCAATCTTCTTTTTCGCACACTAAAAATACTGTTATCGCAAACATTTCTCACAGTGTAATGCTCATAAGACAAGTATTGTTCGGTGGGAGATCCTCATCAGAAGCAGCAGCAGCTCAGGTGGGTGAAGTGCGGACGGCTCAAGGACCCAACGTCAATGATGTCACTCGTATGTGTGTTTAAAACATAACTTTTACACACATTTGTGTTTCAAAATGTAAGTTTCATTATGATTCAGGTTTGGTGAGGCCAACAGATCAGATGACTACCACTGAGAAGACTTTGTCACTCACAATTCCCAAGAAGTGGGGGCGAGCATTGCTATGCCACACAGGGCCATAGGGAGAAGCACCAGGGTCGGTCAGGAGGCGGAAGAAGTGAGGGAGAAACCTGGGAAAGAGCCATTGTGGTGGTTTCTGTGGGAGGGAACTGGGGAGGTGGGCTAAGCAGGCTCAGGGTTAGCTGGTTCGGATAATTTCAGCAGGCGCTGGGATAAAGACTGTCTCAGTTTGTCTTGTATTTGCCCCTCTGGTGATGGCAGTGATGCAGAATGTGAGAGCCCAAGAAAGGGAGTGGTTGGGGCATGGACTCTGGATTGGTTCACAGTGCAAGGAGAGCTCACAGGCAAGTCATCTTCTCTCCCTAAGAACTGGCTAGCCCTGGGAGGGGCAGCCTGGAGAACCTGCCAAGTTAGCAACGCCTCAGATGTCAAAGCATCACACTAAGACATGCTTAATACAAGCTGATTTGTGCATATTGACCCACAGGGCTAAAATACCTGATGCCAAACATTATGTATAAAGAATAGAACAATTTCTGTCTACTGTGGAGGGATATTTTTTGAGATGTTCATCTGTGGTCTTTCTTATTTTTCCCTCCTCAGAGTCCAAACTCACATGTTAGGTTCTTGGTAATTCCTTACTTGAAGGATTTTTACAAGATAGAAAGCCAAGTCCCAAGCTCCTGAGGTCCCCGCCCCAACAAAGATTACTATCTCACGCAGGTCACCAAAGACGAGAATTTTCTTTTTTCTCAGGGTTTGGGTCATGAAGGAATACGTAGTGATTATGCCGATTAGAACACAAGCATTCAATCCCAGTCCCTAGGCACCAGGGCGTGAGTTTTTAATTCATTCAGCTCTTATTTATTAAGCACCTACTGTGGCCAAACAGCATGCCAATCGTCAGTATATTGGATTGTTAGTATTATTGGTTTATTAGTGTACTGATTTGCTAGGACTGCTGTAGTAGTGTCACACATGGGGTGGCTTAATAGCAGAAATCTATTACCTCACATTTCTGGGGCCTAGAAGCCAAGATCAGGGTGTTGGCAGGGCTGGTTCCTGCTGAGGGCCGTAAGGAAAAATGTGTCCCATGCCTCTCGCCTGGCTTCTGGTGGTTTTCTGTTAATCTTTATGATTCCTTGGCTTGCAGAAGTTATCGCCCAGATAATTGCCTTCATCTTTATATGATGTTGTCCCCGTGTGCATGTCTGTGTCCAGGTTTCCCTTTTCATAAGGACACCAGTCATACGGATCAAGACCCACCCTAATGACTTCAGTTTAACTTGGAGCACCACTGTAAAGCCCCTATCTCTAAATAAGGTCACATTCTGGTTAAGACTCCAATATATCTTTTTGGGAGGGGAAGGAATACAATGCAATCCATTAAAATCCTCATGTGGTATGAATTCCAGTGATATTTTATAATTTCCCACCCACTCAATGAGATGATAAGCCTCTAAAGTGATTTTAAGAGAATAAAGTTGTTCCTTGAACATCTGTATTTATGAACTGACAACCACAAATCACACAACATATTCCTAATGCAAAGGAGGGGGGTGGGCAAAGTAGCATCAGGAAACAATAGGGCAGTGGAAAGTGCCAGGCTCGAAGAAACCTAAAAGAGGCTTTTGAGAAGTAAGTGAATTAAGTGGGAATTCTGACATTCATATGGCCAACCAATCCCAAACATCCTGTCATCTTGCCACACACTCTTCCCAGGGACCCAGTGTCCTACTTAAGTATTCAAACAAGAACTAAGAGAATTTACAACACTTTCTCACAACCAGCT